ACTCCGATTTTTCTTGCATCTGATTTTGAGTTAATTTTTGGTCATTGCATCAGCCCTTCTCTCTCTCCTCTCTCTCTCTCTCTCTCTCTCTCTCTCTCTCTCTCTCTCTCTCTCTCTCTCTCCTCCCCTCCCCCTTTCGATGAGAGATGAGACTCTATATGGGGTAGAACGCAGTTTCAGAAGCCAGGCCCTTGTTACTGGAGAGATATCTAGCTCAATGAGCTAAGCATAGGTGAAACATGCTTTGCTGATTAGACAAACCCTTATTTTTCACAAAAGCCCTGAGGGAGGATACACCAAGTCACAGAGCAAATCACTGGCAATGCTAGATCTAGAGCCCAGATCTTCCTGCTATGCCACCCCCCACCCCCTGGCAACCTTCCTAGGATCCGCTGTGTTCCTTCTCTATGAATTGCTAATACCCGTAGGGGAAGTGCCCTGTGCTGGTGCCTGACCATCTGGCACATATCACATGGCCCCCAGGCAAGGCGGACAGCTGACCTCAGCTTTGGTGTGACCCTCCACGGCCCTCTGCAACGGGAATCTGGCAGACTTGTGAAGAGGCAGCTCTGTCTTCAGGGGGTCGGTCCCAGGCCCATCCTCACCTGCCTTCTGCTCCTGATAAGGCGGGGCTGCTCCCCAAGGGCTGTGAGGCTGCTTGGCGCTTGGCTACCACCTGGAGTTGGATCCTGAGCAACCTTAGTGCCTCTTGCATGTCACCTGGTCTTTGGATTCAGCGTCCTCCTGTGCACACGTGGCACTTCCTGCTTTCACAGTTGATCTGGATCCATTTGGACTTGACGTTGTTCCTACCGGCCCACTCTCTACCAAGGCAACCTGGTGGCTTCTGACACTCACGATCTGTTTGCCTGATAGTCCCCTCTGGGAGCACCTATGGGTCGCTACCCCTGCAAGACCACCCCTGCCCAAATCCAGACACCGGAATCCTCAGTCAACTCGGAAACCTAAACCAAGGAGTATTCTTCAGACATGATGGGCTGAAGAGAGAGTACAGCAGGTTCAATCCCCAGTGTCCCATGGGATCCCCTGCCCCCAAGCACGGCCAGAAGTGATCCCTGAGCACACCAAAGCAAGCACCAGCGGGTTTGGCCCAAAATGAAAATGAAATGAAGCCCCAGACTGCCACGGGTATGAAAGTCAGCCTGCATGAGATAATATTCAAAGGGCAACCTCCATGCCCACCCTCTCCTCTTGTGCAGCCCAGGGGAGGTGCATTTGTTCCCTCCAGCGAGGCTCCTGGCATAGAAGCATCTTATCATCAACACGGAGGCCAGACAGACTCCAGGACACTTCTGGCTTGATGTCCCTGTTAGTTTCCTGAGCTGTCATGATGAATTGCCAAACTTGCTGGCTTAATCATCAGAAGTTCATTCTCTCAATTCTTGGTGGTTGGAGGGGATGAAGTCAGGGTGACAACGAGGAAAGTCTCCTTTGGCAGTTCTGTGGGAGAATCTTTTATTTTATTTTCTTTATGGTGTGTGTATGAGGACTCCCAAGCAGTGCTCAGGGGAGTTTTGGGAACCACTCTCAACCAGACAAGAAAATTCATGCTCAGGCCTAGTGGAGTTCAGGGTCTGTGAGGGCTATACCAGGTACATCAGACAGTACTCAGGGGACCATGCAGTGCTAGAAACCAAAATCAGAGCCTTGGTCACATCCCAGACCTTGAGCTATATCTGCTGCCCTTGCTCCCTGACTCAGACACCAGTGGCTATTATTTCTGGCCAGTATTCACATCACTCCATTTTTCAATTTTTCAAGGCCAACAGCTTCAAATCCTTCAGTTCCACAGTCACATCGTGTGTGTGTGTGTGTGTGTATTCTCCCTGGGCTTCAGTCTTACATACAAACAATTTAGGGCCCACCCTGATCATCTAGTGTCATCTCCCCATCTCAAACTCCTTTATCTCATTTCAAAGGGCCTGTAAGCACATTAAGCGACATTCATAGGTTATGGGGATTGGCACCGGATTTCTTGGGAAAACTGGTTTTCAGGCTGTCATTTACAGACATAAGCAACTTGTCCACTATCACTAAACCTCAGCTTTCCCTTCAGTGAAAGGAAGTTAACAGGAGTATGGGGAGGAACACTGTAGCACTGTTCTCTCATTGTTCATCGACTTGCTCGAGTGGGCCCAGTAACGTCTCCATTGTGAGACTTCTTGTTACTGTGTCTGGCATATCGAATACGTCACCGGTAGCTTGCCAGGCTTTGCCGTGTGGGTGAGATACTCTCAGTAGCTTGCCGGGCTCTCCAAGAGGGGCGGAGGTATGGAACTCCGGTCGGCCGTGTGGGCCACAAGGCAAACACCGTGGGAGAGGATGCAATAGTGTTAGCTAGGAAAGAGGGAGTGTCCAAAGCTCTGGAGGAGGGTCGCAGCAGGAGGTAAAGCCCCACCTCAAAGATGAGGGCAAGGTTGCAAGGATGTCTGAAGTTCCCCATCAAACATTCAGGAGAATCTTCCAGAGAGGACCATCTCAGAGCCAGAGGGGACTTTCCAAAGATTGAACACCAGCAGAGCAATGACAAGCAGCAGACTTACCCAGGGTTATAGAAAATTCTAGAGGACCTTGTGGTGCTATGTTTTCTCTTTATTCGGGGTGGGAGAATCTCCCAAGGGAGAGAGGCAACAGGGGACTGGGATACTGCTATGGATTTCTCTTTGGGAGGGATTTCAGTGCTTCATCATCTTTGTAGTTGATTGACTCAAAAATGACCCTTACAAAATCTTGGGCTGGTGATAGCACGGTAGGTAGGGTGCTTGTTCTACATGTGGCGAACCCAGGTTCGATCCCTAGCATCCCACATGGTCTCCTGAGCCCTGCCAGCAGTGATTCATGGGTGTGGCTCCAACAAAAAACAAATAAAAGGGGCTGGAGCAAGAGCAGAGTGGGTAGGGTGTTTGCCTTGCACGAGACCGACCAGGTTCGATTCCCAGCATCCCATATGGTCCCCTGAGCACCGCCAGGGTATTTCCTGAGTGCAGAGCCAGGAGTAACCCCTGTGCATCACCAGGTGTGAGCCAAAAAGCGCACACAAAAAAAAGAACAAAAACAAAAAACAAATCTCTGGCACCTCTCTGAGAAGATGACTCTAAGATTTTTTTTTTTTTTTTTTAGTTTTTGGGCCACACCCAGCAGTGCTCAGGGCCTACTCCTAGCTCTGTGCTCAAGAATCACCCCTGGCAAGTTCTGGGGACGACACGGGGCATCAGGAATTGCACTGCGGTGGGCCAGGTGCAGGGCAAGTGCCCTAGCCACTGTTTTATCATTCTGGCCTCTCAAAGTTCCTTTCCTTTGGGAGGATAATGGGGTGTGGGCCACACCCAGTGGTGCTCCAGAGTGACCCCTGGCACTGCATGCTCAGGGACCATTATGTGGTACAGGTGTGTGTGTGTGTGTATGCGTGTATGTGAAGGGGTGGGGGGTTGTCTAACATGTGTTTTGCTGTATGCAAGGCAAGTGCCTTAACAACCCTGTACTATCTCTCTGGTCCCTAAATCTCCTTTCTTTTAATCTGAAAATGGGAGGAGGTATTAAATATGAAGTAATGTGGTTTCCAAGATAAGGTCATGAAATGAAAGTTCTCAGGCAGGTTGCCTAGAGGGCTGAGTGCCAGCTTCGCATGCTATCTGCCCCAGCAACACCACACACAGTGGGGCGTGGCACAAAGACCAAAAACCAAAGGGAAAAAAATGAAATAGCTGGGATAGATAAATCAGGGTCAGTGCTGCTGGCTAACCGTTATTTTTTTCATCACCAGTGCAGGCCAGGACTTATCCATGAGCACCAAGTCAGAACTAAGCACCTGAGCACCACCAGGTGGGGACTAAGGCCTCCCCATCCTAAAGAAATAGCTCTGCCTGCTTGTTTTTGTTCTGACACGTCTCATGGATCCAGCATCTGTAAGTTGGCTGTCGGTGTTAGCAGAACACCCAGTACGGCAGTGCTACAGGCTGAATACGGTGCAGAGCGAGTCCAACCGCCTCTCACCACGACCCTAGGCTCTGAGATCAGGGACTGCGTCCGCCTCGTGCACAGCTGGCGTGCCTGGGCACAGCGCATGGCATACAGTAGGTGCTCAGTAAGAATGATGCATGCACCTAAGGAGCTGACTGGCTTCAGGGCCGACTAGTTCAAAGAAGAAACGCGGGACCCAAAATGAGTCACTTTAACTGAGAGCTAACGTGAGTGAGCACACAAGAGAGAGCTGACCTCTACACTTGTAAGAGTGGGCCAGGAGCCAGAGAAACAGCACTGGGGTGGGGGTGGGGGAAGGCAATAGCCTTGCACAGGTTCCATCCCCAGAGGCTGCCCTGAGCCCCGGCGGGCGGGCGGGCAGGAACCCTAAGCACAGCCGGGTGTGGCCCCGACAGAAAAACCAGGCTGAGGGGCTGGAGAGATAACACAGCGGGGAGGGTGTTTTTGCTTTGCACGGGCCCACCCAATTCCCAGCATCCCATATGGTCCCCTGAGCACCGCCAGGAGTAAGTAATTCCTGAGTGCAGACCCAGGTGTAACCCCTATGCATCGCCAGGTGTTAAAAAGCAAAACATCAAAAAAACAAAAAAATAACAGGCCCAGCTTGCCCCAAGTCACCCCGCCAAGGCCCCAGCGGAGCCCCTGATCTTACTCCCCCTTCCCCCACTGCGGAAACCCGGCTCAAGACCCGCCAGCCCGGCTGGAAGCAGAGCCGAGAGCTAGGAAGCGGGGTGGGGGGGGTTGGGGGTGGGGCGAGCCGCGCGGCCGCGCACAAAGGCGGCATCCGGGCGCCTCCGGGCTTCCGGGCTTCCGGCCCCGCGGCCCGCCCCTCCCCCTTCTCCCTCCCCCCCACTCCCCGCCAATGCCGGTGCCGCGGGGCCGCGCACGCCGGGCTCGAGGCCGCGCACGCCGGGCCGGGCCGCGCGCACGCCGGGCTCGGGGCCGCGCGCGCAGGGCGGGGCGTGTGGAGGCGCGCGCGTGCGCAGGCGTCGCGCGGAGAGGGTCGAGGCCGAGCAGTGGAACCCGGCCGGGTCCCGTCGTGGTCTACGCCGCCTGTCGCGCCGCCCGCCCCGCCGCCGCCGCCACCACCGCCGCCGCCGCCGCCGCTGCCATGGGAGTGCAGGTGGAGACCATCTCCCCCGGAGACGGTGAGTGGGCGCCCCCCCCCCCCTCACCCCGGCCTCGGGCCCGGGGACCCTCCCGCCCCGCCGCGCGCGCAGCCGCTCACCGGCGTGCCGGCCCGACTGTCCGTCTGTCTGTCTGTCTGTCTCCGCAGGGCGCACCTTCCCGAAGCGCGGGCAGACCTGCGTGGTGCACTACACCGGTGAGTGCGGGGTCCCCCAACCCTTGCCCCAGCCCCTGCCCCAGCCCTGCCCGCCAGGCCCGGGGCGTGGCGGCGCCGCCGAGGCCCGCGTGGCCCGACCCCGAGGCCCGGCCGCTGGCCGCAGCCCCCGGGGGGTCGGGGGTGGGACCGCGACGGGCCCGCCGAGCCCCGCAGGCCCGGGCCGCCGCTGTCCCGCGCGCCCGCTGCACGGAGGGGGACGTTGAGGCCCGCGGCGGGGCGCCGAGGAGCGGCGGAACCACGCAAGGTCACGCCGCGCGCCCACACGGGGCCGGCGAGCCCGGCGCGAGGGTCCGTGCTCCCGGGTGTCCCGGCGCGCTGGTGCGGGGGAGAGAGGGGCGAGGTGGCTCGGGCGTGCGGGAGCGTCCCCCGCACCCCGCCGGAGTCACTGCGCTGGCCCAGCCCGGCGGGGAGCTGGGAACCTGCTGGGTCGTTGCCCCTCCCCGACAGTGACGGTCCAGGACCCGTGATTCAGGCGCCCCCCAGCCCGCCCTGCGCCCCGCATCCCGGTAGGAGCGCAGACGTTCCTCGGCCAGCGTCGTTTTACTTCGTTTTATTGGGGGGGAGGGCGGGGAAGCAACACCTGGCAGTGCTCGGGCCTGACTCCTGGCTCGGTGCTCAGGGATCACGCCTGGCGGTGCTCAGGGAGCCCTGTGGGGTCCCGGGGACGGCATCCGGGCAGGCAAGTGCCCTCACCCGCCCCCCTCCCCTTCCCCCTCGCCCTCCTCCCACCCGCACCTCTATCTCTAACCTAGACCCCTCCAGGGAATGTTCACGCGGTGCCTGGGACCATCTCTGACTTCATGCCCTTACAAGGCCCTCCTGGGTGGGAGGGGAGGGGAGGGGGAGCGGGCGGAGACTCCCCGGGAGGCTGTGGGCCGCCAGAGGGGGCGGTGATTGGCGGGGCCTCAGTAGTCGGTAGGAATAACCGCCCTCCCCCTCCTCCTGCGCGCTCCCCTCTCCCACCCTTTCCTCCCGGTCCTCCCCCTCCTTCCTCTGTTTCTTCCTTCTCCTGCTGGTAAGGAGGGGTGGAGGCAGTGTGGGCCCTGCTGCAGAGGGAAGAGCCCCTGGCCTCCCCGGGAGGAAACAGACTCTCCTTGGGAAGGGGAGGGGGGTGGGGAGGCGATGCCCTCCCCCTGCTTTGCCCTCTGATTTTTCTGGTCCCTTTTCCCTGGGGCAGGGGGTGGATGGAGGACCGGGACCTTTTAAAAGGGCCACCACAAGCGCTGGTGTAGCGGCCAGTGTCTGCAGGGAACCGGCCACTGACCTTCTCTGCATGTCCTGCTCAGTTGGGTGTGGATGAGAAGAGTGACCACTGTTGTGGGCTGGGGTTTGGAGGCTGAGCAGCCAGTTCCCCAGGGTCCCCTCGGGCCCTCCTTCCCCTTTAGGACTGCACATGCCCATGGGGAGGACCACCAGGCACATCATCATCCCTGGTGCCCCAGGTCCACGTGGCTGCTCCTCCTCCATGGCTCACCCATACAGCTTCTGCTGCCAGGCCAGGACCCCAGGATGTCAGCAGTGGCCACACTCCCAGCCTCGTGACAGGACCCCAGAGCATCGGCAGGGGCCCCCGGGCCTCTTCCCTGCAGCTGCTGTGTTTTCCTTGAGGGTGGCACTCACCCCCATGTCCCCAGAACCGTCGGGAGTCTGGTAGTGTGATAGGATCCAGGCTTGTGGGGTTTTTATTTCATCTTGTTTTTAATTTTTTTAAAAATTGGAGGGGGGCAGTTTGGCCTCACCTGGCGATGGTCAGAGGTTGTTACTCCTGGCTCTGAGCTCAGGAATTGCTCCTGGCAGTGCTGGGGGGACCATATGGGATGCCTGGGTTGGAACCCAGGTCGGCCGTGTACAAGGCAAACATCCTACCTTCTGTCCTGTTGCTCCAGGCCTCCTTGCCGCAAAGATGCTTTCTTGTGGGGCGGGCTCTGCCTCAGTCTCCCCCACCCGGTGGCTTTGTCTGCATGACTTTGTCCAACTGCCACCAGCCTCCCAGGAAGAACCTGTTTCAGACCTGTGGGGGTGTGGGAGGCGCTTTGAGATTTCATCTGTAGCAATTAAGGCTCTGGGAAGCGGTTCCATCTGAGGGAGCTAATTGTTGGGAGTGTGTTAGTATCAGAAAGATCTGAGGGGCTTCAGGGAAGCATCCTGGACCTCAAGAAAGGAAAAGGGATTCTCCTGGGGCCTCTTAATTTTCTTTTCGGGCGCCCAGTACCGTTCCAGAGGTTTCTATGGAGTTTTGTTGGCCAAACCTGGCAGTGCTCAGGGACCAGATGGGATGCCAGGGATCGAACCCAGGTTGGCCTCGTGTAAGGCAAACGCCCTACCCGCTGTGCTATCTCTCCGGCTCCAGGCTTCTGTTTTCATCCAACTGGGAAGGGGTGAAAGTTCAGCGGGGGGCCCTCCCACCCCATGCTGTGCACGCCCTGGGTCTCCTCTAGGGCAGGAAGCTCCCGGTGCTTGACAGTGTGTAATTTAGGGCCTTCCTGTTCGCAGGAGGGTGAAGTATAGTGGGCAGGGGTGCAGGGCTGGCAACCCTCTGACGCAGCCTGTCCTGGTTCCGCAGGTTCAGAGAAGCAGCTGTGGAAGCCAGCATCTCGCAGCAGTGAGGGGCATGCACAGCACGGGCCAATCCTAGCCACGGGAATGTTTTATTTTATGGTTTGGTTTGGTTCGGTTTTGGTTATTTTTATGTATGGGGGTGAGGAACATCGCCCTTTTTTTGTTCCTGGGCCATACCTGGTGATGCTCCGGAGTTATTCCTGGCTCTGCACTCGAGAGTCACTCCTGGTAGGGCTCAGGGGGTCGTGTGGAATGCTGGTTGTCGGAAGGCGGGTGGGAGTGCCGTCTCCCTGGTAGTGTTCGGAAAACTGGGGGTTCCACTTGGTGCTTGGGCTGTGTTGGGGACCCTTGCGGCTACCCCCAGCAGTGTTCAGGGGGCTCTGCGGTGCTGGATGGAACTTGACCGGCACCCACAATTCTGCCCCTTTGAGCCATAGTCCCCGTCCCCGTGCGAGTGTTGTAATGCTGCAGTGGTGGCCTGGAAGTCAACCTCTCGCCCACTCCCTAGGGTGCCTCCCATGCCCTCTGGCCTGTGCAGTGGCCCCTGGGGGTGTGTGTGCAGGGGGCGGGGGAATGAAAACTTCAGCGTTCACTAGTCAGACACCTCCCAGTAGGAACAGGCACTGCTGTGGGCAGCTAGTCCTCATCGTGCTGGATGACTCCTGACCCTTGTTGACTCCGTCAGTGGTGCTGTTGGCCCTGCCCTGACACACAGCCTGGCTCTGTCCCTTCTCACAGCTGCAGGCCACGTGCTTGCCATTGTCACACAGCATCAAGAGGGTGGAGGAATACTTTGATTATCCACTTCAAAAGGACTGAGGGGTGGGCTGGGGAGATAGTCAGGGCTTAGGGCCTGCACCTTGCATGCGTCCAACCCTTGGTTCATCTCCAGTATCACCTGATCCGGAAGCACTGCCAAATGCAGCCCCGAATGCCACCATGCCCACCACAGCACTGCCCGTGTGGCAGGTGCTCCCGAGCACCACAGGGTCCTTTTGTCTGTCTGACCTCTGGCTTTGAACCAAGCAAAACCAAAGATTCCTTGGTCCCATTGCCTCAGGAGTTTGACTTGGAGAACACTGAGGCTGCTGGGAGGGCGTGGGCACCTGCCCGTCCCACCCCGGCTCCATCCCACTGCTGTTCTTCAGCCTCTACCTCCCCTCCTACTTTGTTTCACCCCTGCTGAATGTGTCTCGGCCAACACGCTGGAACTGTCCCATGTCTAGGGACTCCCGGATGCCACCTGTGCTCCCCATTTGTCTTCTTCCTTGGGCAGACGGGTGGTCACTGGTGAGGCCCAGGGGCAGGATCCATTTGGTTCCTTCTTCAGGTGTTTGTTCAGAAGCAGCAGAAAGCCAAAATCCGGCGACGTGGCCCTTGAGCAGGTACAGATCGCACCTCTGGCTTGTAACCAGCGTGTTGAGAGCTTCTTTTGTGCCCCTCGCTCTGCTTTCCTGTGCTTTGCACTGAGCGGGAGCACAGCTCCTGCTGGGGCGCAAGTGGTCAGTGATGCCATCACTGCATGTGCTCCTTGTCCCAGGCACTTGAGTGACGTGTTCTTCCCTCTTCCTGGGTCCTTCTGCCAGCCACGTCTGTCTAGAGTGGACCCCGCAGAGCCTGGATTTCAGGGCTTCAGCTCTCGGAGTGGCTGAAGCTTTGCTGCAGTTGGAGACCAGTAGTGTTGAACAGAGCTGAGACTAGTCCTTCCATTTTACAAGTAGAGGAAATAAGCACTTACACAGGAGACATGGGTCTGAATGAAGAGTTTCTATTATTAGTAATTGTAGTAGCAGTAGTGGTTTTTGGGGGTTTTGGTTGTTTGTTTTGCGGTGCGGATATTGAACCCAAACCTTTAGCTTCACACGTGCAAGTGCTCTGCCCTAGCCCTGAGAATTCATGTTAAAGCAAGACCACACAGGGCCAAAGCTATAGCACCGCAGGAAGGGCATTTGCCTTGCATGTGGCGACCCGGATACAATCCCCTGAGCGTGGCCAGGAGTAATTCCTGAGTGCAGAGCCAGCAGTAATCCCTGAGCATAGTCCAGTATGACCCAAAAAGCAAAAGGTAAAGGTAAGGTAAAGGCCCTCCCGTTGATCGTCGATTTGCTCGAGCGGGCCCAGTAACGTCTCCATTGGAGACTTTGTTGTTACTGTGTCTGGCATATCGAATACTCTCGGTAGCTTGCCAGGCTCTCCGAGAGGGGCGGAGGAATCGAACTCGGGTCGGCCATGTTGGCCGCTTGTAAGGCGAACGCCCTACCCGCTGTGCTATCGCTCCAGCCCAAAAAGCAAAAAGAGAAAAAAAAAAGCCAACAACCCAAAAACACCACCAGTCAGGCCACACATTGCATCTAATTGTTTGGGGTCTTTCGGGGGTTGGTCACACCCAGCAGTGCTCAAGTGTTACTCCTGCCTCTGCA